TTCCATCACGTCTCGACGACTCCGGGACGATGCGGTCGACTTCCGTTGATGGAAAGTTGTCGATCCGAGGTCGGGAGATGGAGACGAAGATGGGTGCGAGACACACACACACAACAACAGGTCCGTCACTTGGAACTTTCGGGAGAAGAAGCCGTTGCGTCCTCGAATTTCCGGGGTTTTATCTGTTTTCTCTCAGATTTCCCTTTCCGATTGGTCTCCCATCGTCACCTGATGACAATTCGAAACCTTTCGGGGCGCGGGAGAGGTCAAAATCGAAGTTTAATTCGATCTCCAACCAGAAATGGTCGACGGACTTACATTCTTCTATTGTTTACAAGTTAGCGTCGCGTTTTCATATCATAAAAATCTATTTCTAACTAATATATTATTTTCTCTAAAACAATTATTTTAACGCGAATTTTAGTGAGGGTTCGGACCTGTCCAGAGCCTCACATGTTATGCATTGGCTTTCCAATTTCAACATTATTTTCACCTACTGTCTCATTATTGCCTTCACTTTAAATGTGTTTCTCAATATTTTTTAACCCATCATCTTGTTGAAGCAGTTCCTCAGTTTTCTTAGGACTGAATTTTGGAGAACAGTTTTTTATTTGTCTTTTGCCTTCTAAATAGCAACTATTACAAGGCAATGCACTTACAGAATAAATCAAAGGAATTTTATTTTTTCCCTTTCACGGCATGTAATTACAAATAATTTTTAATAAAACAAAAATAATACCTTCTTTATATTTATTTAAAATTCAGTAGTCAAAATAATAATAAAAATTTTTTGCAATATTTTTATTTACTCAAATCTTAGCAGGAATTACATTATTTCAAAAAAGTGGTTGGAAAAACGTGGTTCACAAAATATATCTGTTTAGTGTACTGTGATAGAACAAAACTCTAAATGCATAAACTAATTTAAAAATAAAAAAAGCATAATGCAGCATAGTATAAATAATATGAATCATAAAATATATACATAATAATAATGAAATAAGTACATATAAAATTTGGCTACTTGTAATAAAGTTTAAATGTTTTTTTATTTGTCATATTGAATTTTGTGACAAAACTTCATGACTGGTGATCTATTATCTATCATTTGATATTCAATATCTTTTTTTTTTCATTGTTAGTGATGCATGGTAATTATCATCTTCAAGATTTACAAGAAAGTCAAAATATTACTGTAATAATTTCAATTTCTCAATATTTTCATGAATATTTTTATATTGTCTCAAATATTTTATTTCTGTCTTTACAATGTAAAATAATATTGTCCACATATTTAATCATTATCCATTTCCATTTAAATGTAATTATTATGTATTAATTAGACTTTGATTAAAATTGTTGCAAAAATTAAATTAATTGTTAATATTAAAAATTTCAAATTTTATGCAGATTTTATTTTACTTCTAAGTAGATTAATAAATATTTCTTAGAAGCAATATTTTGTTTTTTAATTTTATAAATTTTATGCAATATGTTTATATCATTTGAAGTCTCTGCTAGTATTAAATAATTTGTACTCTTGTAATATTTAAGTAGAATAAAAAGTCTAAATAATAATTATTTATTTATAAAAAATAATAAAAAAATAATTTATAATTAATTGTATTAACTCAGTTTAAATGTTTATGCAGTTATAAATATGTCTTATAACTTAATATTACAGTAAAACCTCAATTTAACAGATTAATTTGGGCAAGTGTGTGTTCATTAATTAAAGCTGAAAGTCCTTTATATAATAAAGTAGGTTTTCTGGATGCATGTGTTAAAAAAATTGACAAATTAGTTAGTTCATCTGTTTATACTTATGTAAATACATCTGTGTAAGTAAAATTAAGCATGTATGAGAAGTTCAATTTCACAGAAATGTTTTCTATATGTATTGTTGCTTATAATTTTATAATATATAAATCTTCATAATTTAGCTTTTTAAAAGTTTTTATCTACTTTTATAAGTTCTATATCTAGAATTAATTTTTGGTTGTTCATTGAATAACTTACATTATTTAGGAAACTAAAGAAATTAATTTTTCAATCTTTCAAAACAAAAAAATTTCAAGTAATCAGATGCCAATAATGATTTGTTTTCTATAGTTTTATTAATATTTTAAAAATAAAGTTAAAAATGTTTTTTTTCCCAAAATGAGTAACTCTGAATTAATTTAATTAAATATTAGCTAAAGTATTACTAGTTTAATTGCCTTAGGATGCCTGAACAAAATGAAATGTCATTAGGACAATAAATTAACTTTATATCACACTAAATTCGTCTTTAATGTAATTATATTGTTCTAAATCACTTTCATACTAAACTTTTCCATAGTAGAGATTAAAGTTTTTATTTTTATTATTATTAATTGTTTATTTTATTTTAAAAAATTTTCTATTTACTCAAAATAAGAAGAACATATTAAATAAATTAACTAAATATAAAAATATAATTAGCCTTTAGTTTAAATTATGTTTTTATGAAAAATTTTTAAGTTCTTATATGTGAAGCAGATAATAATTAATAATATTTGTAATTATTGGATAGTTATGTTTGAATTTTCTCATTTTTATTCCATTAAATATTATAATGTAATTTGATAGTCATTTTCCATAATAATATCTCAAGTTTTATATACATATGTTATTAATTTTTGAATAAATAAAAACAGCTTACAAATAACTTTTATTAAATTCAAATAAAATTGATAATTTGTATGATTAGAAAATTGCATCTGAAATTCTATATTTTTTAAGTTGCAATTTACATTATAAATAAATGATGATAAAGCAAATAAAATTCAGCTTACTGTACTTATCAGTATTTATTAAAGAAAAATAAATTCAGATAAAAAAATTTAAAGCCATACAGAAAACAATATATAATTTGTTTTATGAAATATTCAAATGTAATTTTTATTGATAATTTATTTATATGAATGCTATAAAAGTTTTGTTTTCATTTTTCATTACTTTAAAAATATTTTTATCATTTTGTGAATAATATGTAATTTAAATACTGTATTTAATTTGTAATGTAATATATTGAATGCATAAACTTTAAAAATAAAGGAAATTAATCAATTTAAATAATGGTAATATACATATTTGAATTTTAAATCAATTATGAATAATGAGAAAATTTTTATTATTATTTATAATACACTACAGATTGATTTTAAGAATATTTGCTGTTGTTTAATTCTGAAAAATATACTAATTTATTTTTTAGAGAATATTTATTAATAACAATATTATTATAAAATTTATGCATATATATTTTAATAATTAAAATTTTATTTACAGGAAAAGTTAGATAAGGATATTTGCCCATCTCTTAATTCACAAGAATTTGAAGATGGTGAAGATATTGATGATGATTGTGATGATACTGAACATAGTGAAAATGATGATGATGATGATGATAATTCTGAAGTCCTTGTTCGTAATGAAAGGTATAATATTTTTCAAGCATAATTTTGTTTCATATAACTTATAGTCAGCTATAAGATAATTTGACATTCATGTTGCTTAAATTTTTTTAATTGATCCTTCAGAAATATCAATGGCATCAGTTTAAGTTTAAACCTGTTTTTAATTCAAACTATAATTCACTTATTAATATTTATATTTTGTTTCATGACAACAGATGGCATCACAAGCATCCCTTCTTAGTAAGAACAAACAATATCAAAACTTTGAAAAATTTCAAGTTATGTATTGCTACAAAAATTTTAAATTTTACAGATTTTCGATATTAAAATATAATAAATACAAACAATATTATTTAAAAAATTTTCATAGTAATTAAAACTTCGTAACAGTCAAGAGTTCAGTTACTGTTTGTAATAAATGTTAGAGAACTTTGCTTTAACTCAGTGTTCTCAACTGGGATGATATTGTGCCCCCTGTGGGTGTTTTTCCATGTTCAGGGGGGTGATTAGTAACAATTTGTATTTTGGGGGGCGAAAAAACAATTTTCTGGACAATGTAGTAAAACATTATATTAAGAATAATTAGATATTTTATTTGTTATATGTACAATAATTAAACAAATAACATTATATAGTCACTAGTCTATTTGATGCAGTACGAATTTGGCATTAGCCTTGTCCCTCGGCATTGGAATTTTGTAGTGAAGGGGGTGATATTACGTAACGGTTTTATTGAAGGGGGCGATTCGTTAGAGGTTGAGAAACACTGCTTTAACTAGTACAGGTATATCTCGCCTAATGTCAGTAATTGATTCCAGGAGAGGCGATTTAAGTTAAAAAATGATGTAAGTCGAATTTACTTGTCACTAGGCTAAACCACAAATAACCACTCCCAGTTCTATATTTTATTCATAAATGCATTTTTTAATAATATATGATTAATAGGAATCTATTTTAAGCTTTTAAACAAATAAATTTTAGTTTTTAATATAGTACAGGAAAAAAGTAATCTAAATTTACAAATATATGTACAGTACGTACTGTACATACTTGTAAATATACGTTTACAATTTGGTGATGTTTACAGTATATTGCGGACTCTTTATTTGTGAATGTGGTTTGCTCTAAGATATTATAAAATAAGATGATTTTGTAAGGTTAAATAACAAATACAGTTATTAAAATTATTTTGTGATAGTAAAAAAAATAAACTAATTTATGTTAAATTTACCAATAATGATGACACTGACAACAACGCCAAACAGTAGATATTGGAACTATCATGGAAAATGCCAACATTGAGCTGTTAAAGACAGCTAAATAAGATGACAACACAGAGTCACACACGTGTTTTCATATAGTTTCTGGATACAAATATGTATCCAGAAACTATATAAAGCTTGGCGTGAGTTTTTAAATTTAACTTTTTATCTTCTATATATATAACCCATTCAACAGGTGTCCGTCCTTCCTTCCTTCCGTCCGTCCGTCCCGTAACCGTTTGAAAACCGACACTAGAGGCGCCCCTATCGTGTGTCATATTTCAAACATTCAAATTACCAATTTTAATTCTTATTTAAATTAACAATATGAATTATTATTATTCATTTGGCAATAAATTATTATTTGGTCAATATACCAATATAAATAATTCAGTATATTTGTAATATGAATTTATTATTTCAGGGGCTTATATCTCGCGAAGGGTCGCGAGTAGGGGTATGGTTCCTTTGCCTTTATTGTTCGCACAAAGGGCTACAGTTTGGGGGGTCGCCACCTCTTCACCTAATCTTACCATTGAGACTTTAACAGAGCTGTACAGCATATTGATAGGAACAAAAAAGTCAAAGGAACCGTGCTTCATGGAAATTTGTAAACAACGCCCACTAGGGGGCGTCCCGGGCTACTAGTGTTTTCATATTCCGTTCTCTACAATTTATGATGATTATATTAACATTTACTGTATATATTTGTTTTTTAATATGATTTTATGTGCTTTTAACACTTTTCTAGTGATATTACAATTTCAATATCTGTGGCGGACAGATCAAATAAAATGACTTAAACTTGATTCTTATTTTTTCATAAATTTTTTTGACAAATGACGTAACTCGAGGTATACCTGTAATTATTTTATTATTATTTGAACTAATGTATATGAAACAGATTTAATAATATTTCTCAGCAGTTTGCAATAATAAGATGTATAATTTTAAAGCCTGCTGACTGTTGTCCTGATTCATTTGCATCTTTTACTTTTAAACTTTCAATATTCTTATGTTGATATTTCATTACAATTAATTTTTTGTAGATACATTTATTATGGCAATTAACAATAACTTTATTTAATGGAGATATCCTTAAATTTACTTCTAGAAATAGAGGCATTTTCAGTACTTCTTTTAGTTATTATTTTACATTTTTAAAATAATCTTTATAATAAAAAAAAATTTTAAAGTTATTTATTTTTCTGGAATTTTAATATTAAATGCCTTTAAATTGTCATCAGTTTATATATATAAATGAAAAATTCAAGAAAAACTATAATCTTTTAGCTTTCAAAATATATAAATAAAAGTGATTAAAATATTAAAACAGTTATTTTTCTTTTACGTCATATAGACCTTATTAGCAATTACAACTTACAAGTATTAAAATTGAAAAGCTTCTTAAGAAATGCTTAGACTTTGTTTGATGTTACTGGAGTAAATTAATGGAGAAAAAATTTAATATTGAAGTATTAAGTTTGATTAAACATTCTAAATTCTTAAATTACAGGAATTACTCAAAGTAATCATTATAATGATAATTCTACACTTATACCTTTCATCAAAGTTTATGAAGTTTTTTGTTTCTATATTGTCTACTTGGACCTTGTTTATTAATAGGACTTGTTATACTGGTGTAGTTTCTGATTAGCAAAGAGGAAATTTTAGTCAAAAGTCAAAACAAAATAAAAATATCTTTATTTTACCTGAATTATTTATTATGAAGTATTTCTTCATTTTTAATCAATCTCTCATTTATGAGCATAACATTGTAACATATCTTGCAATATTTTCAGTGTTGATTCATTATTTAACATTATGATTCATAATCATTTTCTGGTGATTCCTCCTTCATACATTGATGCTAATATGGCTATATTTAGGAATATGAAAATGGCCTATTAGTTAACAATAAGTTTATTTAATAAAATATGTTCAGATTGTGTAATAAAGTATTTATTTATTTATTATAAAATTAAGATTGTTATATTTTTAACCAGTCAAATATAGATAATGGTTTGAAATATAGATCATTTTTTGATGTAAAACAATATGTAGCAGTTTGAAATTCAATAAAATAAAAAATATATATACAATATAAGTATTAACAATATCATTGCAATTTGAAAAGATAATTATGGATTCCTTAGATTTTCTACATAGTATAATATGGTTATTTCCTTTTCTTAAATAACTTATTTTCTATTTTAAACAGTTTGAAAAGATATTTAATATGGGATGATCAGATGTTTTATCATTCTTTATTAAAAAATAATTGTTTATAGTTATAATTTTGCAAAAAAAAAAGAAAATAAAATTACTTTCTAAAATAATACTATTACATATATATAAGCTATAATTTTTAACATAACTTATATATATGTAATAGTATTATTTTGGAAAGTAATTTTATTTTCTTTTTTTTAAATGAAAATCAAAGAAACCAAAATTAGATTGTGATTTATTATGTATAATATTATATTGATAATATAATTTTCACTTTTGTATTACTCCTTGAATAGCCATTCAGATATTTATCAGAAAAGTAAGTTGATTTAGTCAAAAATGAACCAAATTGTTACTAGAAGCAAAGTATAATGATACTATTGTATTAATATTTTAACAGTATTTGGAATTTATTTACAAAACAATAAAATGTTCATCATTTATTTCTAGAAACTCCTTTTACATAGTAAAACTTTATAAGAATTTTACTGTAATGAATAATAATAATCGTAATATTACATATAGTGATTTTTAAAAATAAATGCTTTATCATAATTTTAGAAATAATGGTAAATTAATGTATATGTTCACAGAAGTACAAATGTTTATTTGTTAATTATTCATTTATTATTAAAAAACTACAATAAATTAAAACAACCAAGTTATATTTAACTTAGGTAGTTACATAATATTTATTTAAACTAAATACAACCTCACCATAATAATATTTATTTATTATTACCTGCATGAATCATATAATACATGGATGCCCATAATAAATTTGGTACTTTTTTCAAATCATTCATATTTATACTTATGCAAATTAGTAATAATTTGTTCATTTCTTCTTTTTTTATTATATTTCTTAACAAAAATATATAAATATGTATCACGAATTGTATGAAATAAAAAATAGTATTTCAAGTAAAAATAACAAATTAATTTGTAATACTAAATATTTTTTGAGAATGTACAGTAGTATGAGAAATATATTTTATGGATAGATTTAACTATGATGTCAAATCATGTTTGCAAATTGCTGGATAAAAATAAAGGTAATGGGTCACTGTTGGGTATTAACAATGTGCACATTTTCTTGAAATAAATGCCAAAAAGTTGTGAAAAATAAAGTGATTTTTCATATTTTTACTAAAAATTATTAAATTGAAACCTGTTGTAAATAGTTGCAGATAACTCAAATTATGTATTGTTCTCATATAAAATTAAAATTTATTTGGTTTGAAACATAACTGAAGTTGTTACAATCCTTATTGTAAAAGTTTAATTGTAGTAATTGTAATTTTTAGATTTTACTTTCAAAGAACATTGACTTATAACTCCAGTTTTTCCTCCCAAAGTTGGAGCAAAAACATTTTTTAATTTTTTTTTCATATATAAATATAAAATAGTAAAAAATGTTTTAAGAACATTTATCTTCCTATATTTTTTTATTATGCATTTCATCATATAAGAAAACTGTTTAATAATATATTGCAATATCTAGTCTTTTATTATAGACTATTTAACTGTCTTAAAGATGCAAAAATGATCTAGTAGTTTAAAATTCAAAATATTTGTATTTTAATAAAATTGCAAAAGGTTACTGTTATGAATAGAATATTGTTACATCTGTGAAACACATACACATAGTAAAGTATGGTATATTAAAAATACAGAGCCAGGTTAAAAATCAAATTAACACCTGTAAGTATTTTAGCACTGATACCTATCAGAAAAGAAATGTTTATATTGATAGCTATATTCAACATTCATAAAAATAAGTATGTGAGTTTCTATAACAGAACACAGCCTATTCATCTGTATATAGAAAAACTGTGTATGAATTATTTTTGTACAAATTAAATATGGATGCTATTTTTAGTTTCTGTTTATCACTAAGTAAGATTCTATGCAGATTTTGATTTCATTACTTAATTGTAAATTTAAATTTTTTTATAAATTTTATTGGCAATAAATTTAATAATATTTCTTATATAAAAAAATTTCCTTCTTCACAATAACTGGAACTAATTACTAAACACAAAACAACAAAACCTTTAACATCCAGTAACAAAATTTTAATGTAAAAATTGATGAATGTTTTTGATCTTAAACAAGATTGCATCAGGTCACCAACAGTATTCCAAATTGGAATGCACAGAAAAAGTTATGTTCTGTGCATTCTAATTTGGAATATTATTGTTGACCTGATGCAGATCTTATTTAAGATTGAAAATGTTTGTCAATTTTTATATTAAAATTTCATTATTGGATGTTAAAGATTTTGTTGTTGTGCTTATTTCTTATATATTATCATGAACTTACCATAGTGTAAAATCTTTATAAAGTAGATAAGTTAAATTATGGCATTTGTAAATAGTTTATGTATATACAAAAGTCCTTTTCTAACTCCATTTTGTAAACATTTCGGCAATTGCACTTAGTATACAGTATCTACATATTCAAATAGCATTAGTCATTTCCATATCAAATTTCTATTGTTCTTGATTCAACATCAGAACTTTAAGTAGGAACTATCTAATTGCACAAAATAAAATATATAGATTAGAATAAATTTTTCTTAATTTAAAATTACTTACATTGCAAAATAAGACTATGTTTACATTTAACAGGAATAAATACAATGAAACATTCAATAATGAAAAATATAAGTTAATTGAGAATTTTGATAACCAAGAATATTGAAAAGTAATCAAAATAATTTTTGTATACAATGGTCATGCATATGTAATAAAATTTACTTATTAATTATTCAAATATTTTTAGTTTTTGAGTTAACCTCACCATTAGGTACTTCTGGAACTGCTACTGATACTGGTATTGGTCATGTTGTACAGCCAAATCTCCAGTAAACTGCTATATAAATAAATAATTTAAAAAATAACATTTATATAGTAAATACATGAGAAAATTATAATAAAATTTTTAGAATTTGATAGGATTTTATCCTAAGTTGTTGAATACTAGTCAATGGATGCATTAAAAATTTATATATGTTTTAAATATGCAATTTACTTCTTGAAAGTTTTTTTTATAATAATCTGAAAATTTTACACAACTTTTTTAAAAATAACTCTAGATACTCAGTTTAATCTTTATAATTTATCATTTTGGTTTTGTATTCCTTTCCAAGTCTTATCTTTGCATTACAAGATATATACTGTATACTTTGTTCTGCCCTTAGGAAAAATTTTCCATCTAGTTAAGGTACTTGATTTTTTTTTCTATAATGTACTTTAAGGCCATAATAGGTTNTATTACACAAAATTTAAGTAAAGCTTAACATGCCGATCTTGCCCCGATCTCCCCTAATCGCTAGACATTTTGGTTGTAAATAGTAATTTTATTCCTGTTGTTAGTTTTATACTTTTTGTTTCGCAAATCTTTTCTGTATAAATTAATTTAAATACTTTTTTTTTGTTTGTTTTATTAGAAAATAAGATGAAATTTTTTGTCATTCACTCGTACTTTTCGTACAGTAGACAAATTTAAAGCTAGTTATTTGATCTTACCTATATCTGTCGTATAAAAATAACTAGAATTATTAAATTTCTTAGTTATAAAGTATATAAAACAATTATTATTATTATTATTATTAATTGCTGTTGACATTTGTATTAAGCTTCTTTATAAATGTATTACAAACATTCCGTAATTAAAATAATACTATAGTATTCACAGGTAAAAAGAATGTAATTGTTAGAGTTTTTATTGGGGCTACTCAATATTATCATCAATAATCTTGGACTTATTATCACTTTGTTTTTCATGCCTTTTTTGTAATTTATATTCTACTTATATAGTGTATTGTATTTTTATAGTATCATTTTACAGATCATTTAACTATTAACGAATTTTTTAAAAATTTATCCAATTGTTTAAAAGTAAAATACAGCAAATAATACATAAGATCTATTTTAAATCGGAACTATGAAAGATTAAATAAAAACTGTTTTTTTTTTAATCCGTATTTTAACATATTAACTTATGACATTATCGTTTTTTAATATTTAATAGAATAAAATTTGAGTCGTAACTTATTTTTATACGACCATTATCTGAATCGAAAATAGAATATATGATCTAATTCAGAAAGTTTGTTATTAATCACTATCTTCGTGACCCAATTAGATAAATAATATATTATATTCATTCGGTTTGATAATTCATTTCTAAAACTCATTATCTTAATTGTAATATTTACAGAGATTCACATACATTGTAAAAATACGCAAAATGTTGTCATAATTGTACATTAAAAATATTTAATCGCCGATATCAAAATTCGTTTAGTTACTGACTGAATAACTTTTTACAAATGCTAATTTTCAAAATAATATAATAGATGAAAGTGATGAGTTAAAAACAATCAAAATTGAATTATAAAGTACGAAAATAGAAGTTCGAGTTTCAATTAAACAGCAATTTAAGAACAATTTTTTGCTTGTTCAGCAAAGCGAAACATTTAACAACCTACCCTCCTACTTCAGTGCAATAAAAAGTATTTCTGATAAGATTTTTAAAAAATAAATAAAATAATAGGCACAATACACAACCACAACATGCAAACTGGTGATTTTGATTTTTATAAAACTAAGATACATGCGAATTGATGGTGGAGACAGAGCTCACGCATTAATTGTAAATCGAAAATTTGGGTCAGCAACTCTCCATTTCTCTAGACAATAAATTCGGGACCTCCTTTTGTAACTTTTTTTTTTACTTAAACTGATGCGCGAATATATTATTTTTATAGGTTAAGAATAAATACTAAATTTGTTTGGTTTTCAAACACACTTTTAAATCCAGCTGATATATCTAAACTACGAATGATTAATATATATATATATATATAGGGTGTAACGGAACTCCGTGCCAATATTTTGGGGATAGATTCTAGAGTCAAAAATAAGCTTAAAGTCATTGTTTTAAATTCATAAACGTTTTTCAAATTCTTCATTTTCAAGATCTGCCCTGTCAAAAAAATCGTATCGGAAGCCAATTTTAAATTTCCCTCCAGAAGGGAAATTTAAAACTGTTTGTTTTCCGATTCTGTGTTGTTAATATCTATATAAATTCAAGCTTTATTTTAAATGTTAAAAATTGTTTTTTTGGGGCATTTCTTATAAATTATTCTGTTTATTTTGTAAAAAAAAAGGAAAAAACGAAATGTTATTCAAAGTAAATTTACGTTGAAAAACTACAATAATTCAAGTTTTCCAACTATTTCTTTTTTACTGTAAAGCGGATAAATACTGCAAAATCTTAAAGTGAATAAGGCTTTACTTATATTTATTAAAGTAATGTCTACTTGCGCAGCATTTATTTACTTCAATCCGTTGACAAAAGCTTAAAAAAAAAAAAAATACAAAATCACTTTAAAAAGTTGACGACTCTAGTGCTACTTTGATGAGGAATTTAAAAAGTATCTCGACTAGCCAGATCTCGAAAACGAAGCGGAATTTGAAAAATGTTCATAGAGGATTTTAAGCTTATTTTTGACCCTAGAATATATATCTAAAATATTGGCACAGAGTTTCGTTACACCCTCTATATTTTTTTCTCATTTGTACGACAAATATTGGCTTTTTTCGATAAGACTTTCATTTCTTTGTGTTATAAAACTTTGAATGCAATTTTAAAGTAGGGAATTATACTCAAGCTCATATCTGAATGTTAATGTATTCGAATTGAATATATTTATAATAAGTCTGTTACTTTGATCAGATTTTATTTTCTAATTATTGATACAGTATCAAAGAAGATGAAATAAGGAGTAGTAGCTTGCCCGATTTATTATTCAAGGCTAGTGTTTTTCAACCTGTGGGTCGCGACCCCAAGGGGGGGTCGCAAAGCCTTACACGGGGGGTCGCGGGTAAAAGAAAAAGACAAGTGTTTGTAGGTCATACACTACAATAAATAAAACTACAATTTCAGTGAGAAGGCTTTGCGTTTTTATTTTAAAGTACAATTGGTTTTTCGATCGATATTTAGATCTCAACAGAAAAAAAATTAAATACGTAGTTTTTAAAATCACTGATATAGTTTTAATATGGCCCTGGGGGTCGCCAGAATTTTTTTAACATGTAAAGGGGTCGCGTATTCAAGAAGGTTGAAAAACACTGATCTAGGCATTTAGAAAAGAACGCCTAACGATTTTTTATTTTATTACTATAAAATTAAAATATACAAAACTGTAAATAAATTTCTGTACAAAATTACAATTTTCTAGTTTTTCCTGTAATGATAATATAGATCCAAAATGTTGTCTTATTTTACTATATTAGAAAATATTTAATAAATGTATTCATTGGTTATGATATTTCTTAATTAGTTACTATATATTTCTTGTAGAAAAGTATAGCTGACTGATAAGAGTTTGTAAGTAGATCTTGATCGATTGTCGTGTTAGTGTTGTGGCACGTTGCGGGATGAGAAGTGACGCGCTTAATTTGTGATGCGGAACAATGCTAATCCAACCATCTATATCAATTTTCAGACAAGTCTAAGTACTACCACTGAGTGATGATTACTCATTTCATATGAATGAATGATTGTGCTTTCCACATACAGTTTATTTAATGAAATTGTAAAATATACTACTACAGTTTTATTAAATTAATTATTTATAACAATTAAGCTAGGATATAGTTATAAGTGACGTTATTTACATATAGGACAATTGTTATTATCTTGTACATTCAATGGATATGAAAAATAAATTGCTATACTGTACTTTATTTGCGACATACCATAAATCTGTAGTTTATGTACAGTACTTGTAATAGCAGAATTGAATCATAATCTATTTGTTTTTAATGTTAAACTTGATTATAGGAATAGAGAAGTTTATTTTATATTGTTTAAATTTAGATATTTTTAATGAATTTATATAAATATATGCTATAAAAATTACACAAAGTTTCCAGAAATTTAGATATTCAAAGAGAAATAAATGTATAGGGGAGATCGGGGCAACTTCGGCATGCGGGGCAAGTTTGTCAAGCGCTTTTTTTAAAAAACAAATTAAAAGGAGACTTTGGTTATAGGTTAGGCAGTTGAGTTTTATTGGTGGCTTGTTGAGTGTAGTGTTTTTATTGTTCTCCAACAAGCGTAGTTGAATTATCAAGCAAATTTTCATTTTCGTTCAATTCCATATAATATTTTTTTTCCATTTATATTGAATTGGCAGGTTTTGTTATAATTCCATGATAACGAAAGTTACTTTTCCTGTTAGAAGGATGTAACTTCAACTTATTCACGTGGCCAGATCGTGGCTTGGCATTCTGTTCTCAGGGTTGTACTTAATGTTTCGAAATCATGACTAGCGGGGTAAGATCGGCAACATAAAGCCACATTAGAAGCAAAGGATAAAAATCAAACAGATGATAAATGAAAACATGTTTGCATTTGTTATTCATGTATATATGTCTTTGAACTTGCATTTCGTTGTAATAATATTAAATGGGTGTTGGATTTGTATTTCTTTGTTTTAATAGTGAATTCCAACTTATACATTGTTAATAACATAATTTTATATACGTGCCTATCTTGCCCCATTACTGTTGCCCCTATACCAGGGGCAACTTTAATAAAAATAATTAAAATAATTACAACTTTACAAAAAGAGAGAAGTTGCCGATCTTGCCCCTATACCCGGGGCAACTTCGTCAATTTCTCTCTTCTTGTAAAGTTGTAATTATTTTAATTATTTTTATTTCCAAACTGATTTTAACCAGTTCTATAGTAAGGTAACATTCCAATAGACAATATGCAAAGCTTTTTTTTCAGTTTACAGCAGTATTTATTACACAAAATTTAAGTAAAGCTTAACATGTCGATCTTGCCCCGATCTCCCCTATCACTTATTTTAAATTATTTAAGGCCATTCAATCTTTTTATAATAATAATAATAATAATAATTGGAATAGTCAATAAACAACAAAATTTAATCCAAATCGTTGATATAGCAATATCAGGAGACCCAAGAATCAAAGACACAGAATTAGAAAAGAAAACTAAATGCCGAGATCTGGAAATTAAAATTCAAAAACTATGGAATAAACCAGTTAAAACAATACCAATAATAATAAGAGATTTGGGTGCAATCCCAAAAGATCTGAGACAACATCTAGCAGCCCTTGGCATTGATAAAATCAACATCAGCCAATTACAAAAGGCAACTTTGCTGAGAATTGCCTACATTTTACGTCGATATCTCAAATATCCTACGCTCTTGGAAAGAACTCGGTATGATGAGCAGATGCCAAATCCAGCTAAAGACCATGCAGCTGCGCATATCAAAAATAACAATTGGATATTAATATTCTTTCTAATATTTAGGGAAATAATAGTATCGGTAGTTGAAAAAATCGTACAAATAGCAAGCTTTTATCATAAATATAATATTTAAAATATTTTCCAATAATAAGCAAAATGTTAATAAAATGTATATATATAAATTCCAAAACTCGTCACAAATTAAATTAATTTGACATTCTAAAATGTATTTTATGTTGAATGCACAAATATTATATAGTCATGAGTGCATAAATAAATAAATAATACCAATATTTTATGAGATTGTATCGCAAATAATTTTTTATGTGTTTTTTTTTACAAATTAACACAATGGTTATAAAAATGGTTATCATTTATTGAATAAATTCAACGTAATAATAAGGATCCAAAAATTCTCCTTAGATAGTATGCACTTAGGTGACGTGAAGTAAATTTAATCGTTTGAATTTACGAAAATTAAACCGTTATTAAACAGTTTTTGTTTTAGAACTTATGTAAAACTCATTCGAAATGTTTTCGCAAACAAAACATTTCAAAAACCTTTCTCAATTCTCTATACAAAATAACACTACAGATATTTTCACATTAGGAATATAGACTAGTATGCGTAGTGTATTATTAATTACTATAGCCTAATAACACAATATGTAATTATTGCTATTAAGTGAAACGAAAGATTAATGAACATTATAAAGTGAAATTGTAAACTTAATTGATAATATTTAAGAACATTCATTAAGCACAAGTCTGATATACTTGGCAACGTTTTCTGCAATACTAAAAAAAAAAAAAGAAAAAAAGAAAACAGCAGTGACGGCATGATGAAAATATATTTGATTATCTTTTCACATTAGTAAAGATATCTGAAATATTCTAAAATCCGATAAAAACTGATATCCTTTATATGATAAGTTTTTTTTTTTTTTTTAATTTTTCAACATTTTTTCGCTGAACGAGCATTAACAGTGAGTGAGGCGTTGTCGAGTCATCGAATCGCAACCGAATCGAACTACATGCAATAGTAATTGTTAAAGTTGCTACAATGTTTCCCTCCAGTGAAGAAATACAAGTAAGCAAAATTACCTTGCAAGAAAACCTATTCAGAACCTAATACACGCTTTTCTTCTGTGTCCATTGATTCGATTTAAATCTGTGTCCGTTAATGCAATTTGTACTTTAAGATGCTCGATAAGCTAGTTTTACGTCCGGAACGAAATCTAGACAATTTAAAATGTAAACACACCTAAAAACTGCTACGTAAAATTTTTATAACTAAATGCCTAACTTTTTAATTCTGTATAAATTTTATTGTTAAAATAGGCCTACTAATAAAAAACATTATTAAGTCTACATTAATTAATATTTAGGGGAGATCGGGGCAACTTCGGCATGCGGGGCAAGTTTGTCAAGCGCTTTTTTTTAAAAACAAATTAAAAGGAGACTTTGGTTATAGGTTAGGCAGTTGAGTTTTATTGGTGGCTTGTTGAGTGTAGTGTTTTTATTGTTCTCCAACAAGCGTAGTTGAATTATCAAGCAAATTTTCATTTTCGTTCAATTCCATATAATATTTTTTTTCCATTTATATTGAATTGGCAGGTTTTGTTATAATTCCATGATAACGAAAGTTACTTTTCCTGTTAGAAGGATGTAACTTCAACTTATTCACGTGGCCAGATCGTGGCTTGGCATTCTGTTCTCAGGGTTGTACTTAATGTTTCGAAATCATGACTAGCGGGGTAAGATCGGCAACATAAAGCCACATTAGAAGCAAAGGATAAAAATCAAACAGATGATAAATGAAAACATGTTTGCATTTGTTATTCATGTATATATGTCTTTGAACTTGCATTTCGTTGTAATAATATTAAATGGGTGTTGGATTTGTATTTCTTTGTTTTAATAGTGAATTCCAACTTATACATTGTTAATAACATAATTTTATATACGTGCCTATCTTGCCCCATTACTGTTGCCCCTATACCAGGGGCAACTTTAATAAAAATAATTAAAATAATTACAACTTTACAAAAAGAGAGAAGTTGCCGATCTTGCCCCTATACCCGGGGCAACTTCGTCAATTTCTCTCTTCTTGTAAAGTTGTAATTATTTTAATTATTTTTATTTCCAAACTGATTTTAACCAGTTCTATAGTAAGGTAACATTCCAATAGACAATATGCAAAGCTTTTTTTTCAGTTTACAGCAGTATTTATTACACAAAATTTAAGTAAAGCTTAACATGCCGATCTTGCCCCGATCTCCCCTAATCGCTAGACATTTTGGTTGTAAATAGTAATTTTATTCCTGTTGTTAGTTTTATACTTTTTGTTTCGCAAATCTTTTCTGTATAAATTAATTTAAATACTTTTTTTTTGTTTGTTTTATTAGAAAATAAGATGAAATTTTTTGTCATTCACTCGTACTTTTCGTACAGTAGACAAATTTAAAGCTAGTTATTTGATCTTACCTATATCTGTCGTATAAAAATAACTAGAATTATTAAATTTCTTAGTTATAAAGTATATAAAACAATTATTATTATTATTATTATTAATTGCTGTTGACATTTGTATTAAGCTTCTTTATAAATGTATTACAAACATTCCGTAATTAAAATAATACTATAGTATTCACAGGTAAAAAGAATGTAATTGTTAGAGTTTTTATTGGGGCTGTCTGTTTATTAAAGCAATTATCCATTCCAGTCACGGAGACATCAGTGTTTTATACATTTCGTGTAAAACAACGATGTAAAATTGTAACCAAATAATCTCTTCTAAAAAGGATTAAAGTAAGCGTACCGTATCATTTACAGTCCAACCGGGGGACACATTTCACAATTAGTGAAAATGAAGTCTAAAACTAATGAACTTCGGTTATTTTTTTAAATTTATTTATTTATCTATCTATAAATTGGTGATATTATATTGACGTGTTAATAAAATTTCTCTATTCAAAGATTGTGTCTACAATCAGATATTAATTAAAAACAGCAAAACCGAAAACCGAAATTGGGGACGTCTGGTCACCCTAGTTACAGGATAATTAGTAATAACCTTTGCATCCAAATCTGGCCGAAAAGTTAGTTGCTAGAGAGATCTCTTGTCTTTAAAACGTGTACTGTACTGTATATAATCGTAATATAATCTTTATACTAGTTCTTGGTTAAAATCCTTTGTTTCGTACTGTACTGTACATCCGTCGATACTGCTCTGTTTATTCCAGCCTCGCGCATTGCGGAAATATACGTGTGTATGTGTGTGTAGTTAGACATATACAGAATATAACATACGGTATACTGTTGGAAATATAAAGTATATTTACAATAGCATACAATTTAAACCGATTACTGTTTGGTTTAAATTATATGCTATTGTAATGTTTAGGATATCTTTGATTCTATTCTCTTCTTTCTTAATTCGTAAACGAAAATTTTGGTACAATATTCTGTTCCGAATTTAGATTGTCTGACTCGCAACAATTCAAGTAACTACGCTATTTTTGATACATTATTTATTTTATCACTAGTGTAACTTTTACTATTCGAATTAAGAAAGAAGTAAGAAAATATACTCACACTCCGAATCCCTGTAAGATAATTAATATTTTTGAGTCTAGTTTTCTACTCTTTATTCTAGTTATGAATAATTCAATCGATTACAGTTTTTCTACGAAATTTTTACGAGATCTTCAAAAATAAAAGCCAAGAAAATTTATTGATTCATCATATTTAGCATTTATTACCGTTTTGTATATTATTTTCTCCTTAAATCGCTTTATAATAAATTATTTTAATTAATAAATATAATTTATTTCAATGAAATTTATGCAAAATTCTGAATCTCTTTAACATAAAATTATTAGTTTTTATTTTTATTCAAAAGTGTTTTTTCTCAAAAATAAAGTTTATTCGGTAAAAGGGGGAAGTCTTGGCATCCAAGTATCTATTATCGTCTTTCTCGTTTAAATTCAGTAAATAGATAAGTGATATTGCACTCGTGAAAAGACACCAATGGTATATTCTAGCTACCGATAAGAGAGAGGTGTAATGATTATCGTTCCTCTCCCTCTGATGGCTCTCAGGCGGTGAATAGTATATTCTGGCATTTATTAATCATAAATATTTGTATATATATATATATATATATATAAAATTTAACCGTGTAAAATATTTAATAAGATTCCAACAATACGCATTATACTCCTATTAGTAAGACAGTATACTAAATACAATTGTTACGTCATAATTGTAGTGTTCTGTAAAGTTAACATCTATAGATATTTTTATCGTTCACCTGATGATATGTCATTTATAAAGTTTTAATCGAAAACAATAAGAAAAAACAAACACCAGCAGATAAAATAAGTGATTTAGACTTGACTAAAAAGAAAATAAAAACGATATGAAATAATCATAGAAATTATACAATAATAATAATGAAATAATAAATTTCGGAAAGAGGATGATTTAAGAAAATAATAATAATAATAAAATGGAAACATATGATCGTATATTGTAACATGATGAGAATGCCAATTCAACATCTCGATCTTTGTATAGCAAATACAGAAACATCGAGTATAAAAATAATTGAAAATAATAACGTAATACTGTAATTTGTGAAAAGAATGACTTTAAATAAAAACTAAAATTACTAAATGAATGAATGACGATATAATAAAATGTCGCCATTTTAACTAGAAACCAATTTCTTTTACAATAGCTACATTGCATTATTATTATTATTATTTTTTTTTTTTTTTGTCATCATCGTTCGTTTAATAGTTTTTGATGATAAATTTTCGGAAGTTTTTAAAAATATAAAAATAAAACTTATTACTGTTTAATAAAAAATTAATTAATTAATGTGAACTTTCACATCTGCTTATCAAGTAAAATGACATGATAACGATCTCATATGAAAGATATAAAATAACAACAAAAGCTATTATTTTAAGGAAAATATTTTACTTAAAAAAATGTTAAACTAATAAAATTAACAATTGCTGTCAGGCTAGACACTGGTATCAAACCAGTAGGACATAATCCACCAACAACAATGATAATTAAAATTTTATAATTTAGAATATTTTGTACAGTACTGTATTATTCTTAGTATTAA